GGGGAGATAGCCGTCGCCGATCGGAAATGTTTTTCGCAGGATTTTGTGCTTGTTAGGGAAACACGAGCAAGCCCGGCGCGAGGCAGCCGCTCGGGCGGGTTTTACGTGATCAGCTGAGTTTGTAAGAGCGCGGGAGGCTCCCACCGCGCAAAGGTTTTTCGTTTCTCGCCTCTGGAGCACAGGAACATCCCCACAGGTAGGGCAGGGCCCCCAAACCTCTTTTCCCCCGAATAGGACGGCTGCTCCAGCTGCAGAAAGCAAAGAGCAAGTTCAGACCGAACAAAGATTTTTTTAGTGAGTGAAAGCAATAAAGATCTTAAGGCAAAGTTTTTATTGGAGTTGGTCTAAAGCCACTTCGTGGCCGTCGCGTCAGGTCAGGCATCGGGGAAGGGGTGCAGGAGGCGAGCGAGGCCGCACCGGCACGAGGGGGCCGACGTCTGCAGCCCTACAGGAGCAGATCCTCCTCCGTTAGCTTTTGCTTCAGCTCGCTGCCACGTGGACCTGCTAGGAAGATGGGCAGCTTCGCCTCAGAGAAGCTGTCACTATCGCCGAGCCCTGACCCAGAGGATGGCTCCGATTCCATCACAGCATCAGACCCGGAGCCAGACTCCTCATCTGAGAGAGGGAACATATCGCTCAGCTCCTGGTATCTCTTCATCCTGAAACGCAGAGCGGCAGCTAGTTTATTCCAGATTTATTTTTGTGTTTGTTATCTCTTAAATGAACGCACTGAAGCCTCGCGTTCACATGGGTGAGCCATGCTGTGACAGGACTGTGGAGACAGGAATACCAGACATTTTTGTGTGCTAGCATTAATGACATGAACGTGCAGCAAATGAACTTACAGGGACGGGTCTGCCATGGGAGGAAGGATCCTGTTGGCTCCACTGGTGGACATGTAAAACCAGGGCCCCTTCTCTTCGATGCAGTTAGCGGACCAGGCATCAGGTCGGCACCTCACTCTCTTGTACCTTGCCTTCTGCATCGGAGCACCTGATCAAATCAGCCATGCGTTATTCACCGGGACCAGGACATTATTCACCAGGACCTATTAACTGTATGAGCACCTAATAAAGCTTAAAGGAGTGGAAGAAAGTTATTTGTGTGGCCTTGGATTTTGCAACTGCCAAAATCCATATTAACTCTGCAGACTTTTTTTTAAATGGCTACTGATACCCTAAGTGACATCTTGCTGTCAGAGACATCGGGTGTATCTTGCATGCAGCACCGGGAAGTCCACAGGAACTAGAAATGGAAACCCCGTGGGAAACCACTGCCTTGCACCGATGTCATAGCAGGGCTCATCCCCAGCTCAGGGCATGGCATGTCCACAGGGGACCTGTGGGCTTGGCCACCTGCAGCTCTCTCCGAAGCTAGTGAAGGTATGTCAAAATCTCCTGGGGACAAGACACCCAAGCAGAGAGCTGGCTCCTGCACCCTCCCTTTCTCTGTTGGCTCCAGCGAGGGTCAGAGCCGACTGCTTTGGCTTTGCGTGGCTCAGCGCAGCCCCTTTGAGTGCAATGGGATGAGTTTTGGTGGGGAGGTCAGAAACTCAAGGCATGCCAAAAGCCGCCTGCCGCGGGAGCAGATTTGAGGATTGCGTAGGCTCTCCGAGCACGTCGCCACAGAAGAGACAGTTCAGGCAACTCCTAGACACAACTCAGGGTTATGTAAACCCATGGTTTCAGTTCTGGTGCCCCCCAGGTGCCTGATCAGGGCTGTCACTGAAAAGCGGATCTTCAAAAAATACCAAAAGGAGAAAATAATGATTGCACAGTAAAGACAAAAACAGCGGCATTTCGTCCTTCCTCCTGGTCTCATGTAATTAATTTGTTCTGAAGCTTCCTGGCACATTCTCCCCCTGTTTGCACTTTTATCTATTTTTTTTCTTGGTTTCTTGGGAATATCTTTCTGTAATTACACTTCTCTATTGCCCTGTATATTTCCATAATGTACTAGATGACTTTCAGCTACCTCCAACGCTCTTCTGTAAGAGAAAAAAGATCTCACGGGTATCATTTCCTGCTTCTTTTACAGAGGATTCCTTTTTCATACTTGTTTTCTTCTCTTAGCTTATTATTAAGAAGGTTTTTAATAATAACAGTGACAACAAAATAAGTGCAGATGAATGATTTGCAAATAAACAACATACAAAAAGCAGGCCATAATGCCTCAGAGACCAGACTACAAGTGCTAGATACCTAATGAAGCCTATCACTGTCACAGCCTTGGTTTGGGGACAAACTATACCCTACATGCTTGAAAAGCACTTCTCTTTTGCAAGAAACAAATCCACAGAGTACATGTCATCATGAATCAACATTTCCTTTTAGTTGTTTTAGTGCTGCATGTTGCAATATTGTACCAAATAAACCGTTTAATTTCCTCACACTTACAACTAGTTTCCTTCCCTGGTAACTGTTACATACTTTGTAACTACAGAACTGCATAACAGTAATAACCGGACCACTATGAAAGGAGCGGTTAAAAAAATATATATTGAAATATATGGATTGAAAATATACACACATACAGCAATGTATTTTATGAAGTCTCACAGGGGCTGGGAAAGTGACACAGAAATGCTCCACCTGCAAAAAGCACGTTTTCTTACCATTCCCCCTCCAGAAAAAAGAAACATTAGCAAAGCAGGTTTTCGGAATAGATCTCTACCCCTAGAGTTTGAAAAATTCAGAGGCTGCCGGCTTGTACTACACTGCATAGCCCAGCAAGAGGATTACTGAGAGAACAACTGCCCCCTTTTTTACCTTGCGCTGTGTATCCCATAAAGAGGATTAAGCAAATAGCCAGGAAAATCCTCCCGTTACATCTGATAAGGAGCTGCATTTTGGCCGGCATCCCCCTGCTCTCCACCAGTCTTCACCACAGCTTCACACTTCAGAAATATGACGGGGCGAGGAGATCAACGTTTAGAAAAGGTTTCCGAAACCTCAAACCCAACCCATAACCTGCGTCACCACTTCCTGATTGATGGGAGACATGTACAGAAAAGCCCAGCACTCTGGCCTCCCGGCCTCCATCACTCCAAAAAAAAAGAATCCCTACTGCCTTCGTCTCCAGTTTTGCCCAAGGGAAAAAGCAAACCCAGGACCAACCAATCCAACTGAAGGCAAGCACTGCCAGCAGCAGCTTGTGGTCCAGGTGTGCATCCCACCCAGCACCCACCCGATGCTCAGAGGGCTCCAGGGCATTCGCTGTTTCCTCTGGGAGAGAAAAAACAGCACTTCATGTCCCCCGACTTTCAGTCAACTGCATTTTTGCACCGGCACTGGAAGTGATTTTCCCTGCCTCAAGCCCATGTCCACCAGGAGGGTTAGGAGCCCACTGCTTGCAGTCAGCGCAAGCTTCACAGACTGGGAAACAACCTTTTTCCACAAAAGTAAGTTATCTCCAGAACCTCATGCCACGTTTGCGGGTTTTTTTTTTTTTTTTTTTTTGAAAGCAGGATCTTAGATATTCACAGTAGAAGTGAAAACACGTATTAATTTAGAGAATATATTCTGGTAGAAATGAGCCAGCTTCTTTCTGAAAGGACACAGAGGATTTGCTGGGCCAGATCATCGCCGTGTGGTGCAAGCACCCCAGGGAGTGTGGCAAAGGGTTGCATGTGGCTCCACAACACCCTGTCTGGAGAACCCTTACATAGACAGATAGATGGAAGCTGCCTTTTAGCTAGCTCATGCCTTTTGCTTGCCTTTTAGTCATGATCAAACCAGGCTTGATTTCACTTTAGAATAAATTACAAACAATGAAGTTATCTAAGTGGTGGGGGGGTTTTCTTAGTCATACCATTAGCTGCTGGATTAACTGGGGCACCAACGTGTGGGCCTAACATGCCGCTAGCATCTCCGATGATGCTGTGGCTGATAGTGTAAGTTGTCTGTGGTAAATCTATTTTTATGTGGTGGAAAGTCCATGCGGGCCCCTAGCAGGCTGACTGATGACTTTCCCCAGGGCACAGTGCCCCACCAAAAGCCCACAAGTGGCAGAGGAGACCCCTCCAGTGGCTCCCCTCTCCAGGCTGGGATTTACCGCTGGGCTGAGGGATCAAGATGGACATTCAGCATCAACGTGGTTTATTCTGAACCTCTGCACATGTTTTTTTTTTCTGGCACAGGAAAAGAAAAGGACACTCAAACCAAGCAGGCATGGAAGGACTCACATGCAGTGGTTGCTCCTACCAGCCTCATTTGTACTTTGTATTTTTAGCATCAGCTCTTTTTTTTTTTTTTTTTTTTAAGGTGGTGCTAAGCATCAATAGGAAGCTGGGCAAACACATGCGGGGAGGTGCTCAGCCTCCACCCACTGAAGGCTGCGGAAACCGTTCCTCCAATAACACTTTTTATTTTCCACCGGTCACAGGCACACATCGACCCCTTCCACATCCCTCCAGCATGCACAGACAACCCCCCATACAGAAAGCACCCCTCTGCCAGCTAGTTCTGCCCTTCCCACCAGCCCAGGGCTTCTTCCACCCCAGCACTGGAAGTCCCATGGGATGCGACTGGAGCGGTGCCCACCAGCAGACACAGTCGTGGGGGGGCCAGCGATCCTGCAGGAGCTGCAGAACCCCTGTATCTGGAGGGTGATCTTGCAGAGCCGAGTTATCTGCCTTGTACCATCAGCCAATGGGGGAACTTGTAGTGCTGGCAGTTTTGCCACACAGTTTTGTTATTTTCTTCTGTGTCAGCAGCACGCCTCAGGAAATGAAATTGATTTACAGTCGATAACCATGAGAAGACTAAAGCAAATTTTCCGCTCTCCCATTTCACGTACACCTGCGTAATGGGGGCCAGAAGCCTGCGGGGAGCATCAGCCTGTGCCCACCTCCTCCTGCCCTGCTGTGCTCCACCGGTGCCCACACCCCCCTGCACTTGGCAAGCAAAGAGCTTTCCACTGTCCTACAAACGTGAAAGTGATACTGGAGACCTGGATTTGAAGCAATCTGGGATGTGCAAGTCTTAAGAGTAAAGCACACTCTTTGTGGAGTGTCAGGGGCTGCCCAAGGAACACTGTGCAATTATTTACGTCTCTGTAAACCATTTGGGACATAAAATGCAAATAATTGACACAAATTTTTTAAAAATCAACACAAATTTTAAAAAAAAATCTCATCTTGAGCTAGAGGCCACAAATTGCTGAAAGTTAACATGCTTTTTTCTTTTTTAAACAGAGAACAGCACACGAGCTATACTCTATTGAAACACTAACCTTGAAACGTGCCATTGCACGACTATCCGAGTTTAAGAGACAGAGGGTGTTTTTAAGTCAAATATTTTAAATCCACAGAGGAGAGGACAGTCACCATACGTAGGTCAGCTGCTTCAAAACTACCTCCTGTAAACTACAAGGAAGACTCATAGGATAATACTCCTCTTGCATAGATCCTGTATATAGAGACTGGAAGATTAAATGCCCCAAAAGAATAAACCTATAAAAAGAAGAAAATAAACAAGGAGCAGGTATTTGCGAACACAGCTCGCTCCTAGAGCATTTCTTACCATTACCTGAAGTGCTGCTGTTATTTTCAAATCACATGCAAAGCAGATTAAGAGCTTTGCATTTTTCTAAGGCATTAATTTGGGGAGCAGGGGGCAGCGGAGGGAGGGGGCTGCCTCAGCACTGTGCACCCAGCCCCTCAACCAGACACTCGGGACTCTTCGTTATGTGCCTGAAGAATCTGGGAGTAGCCCCTAAGCTATAATAAACACTTCAAAAAGTGATTAACTGCTCCTTAGTCATAACTCTTGGGTCTGCTTTATCTCCTAGTTGGCTTCAGGAGTAGCAAGTAATTTAGCAACATCACTAAATGGGGACCACACCGCAGGAGTGCCTGGTATGAGGACATCCAACCTGCTGTCAAGGGCAGGGGATGTAGGGCAAAGAAAATTCCCAGCAGGCCAATTTCAGTAACACAGAGGGGCATCATGGGGGTGTTTCAGCCAGTTCTTTGGTGGACACCAACCCTGCCCTGCTCTAGCCCAGATAAACGCTGCCAGAGCAGCTCGGTCTGGAGGAGTGGTCCAGAGGAGCAGTCCGATGTAGCCGTGTTGGGCCGCACTCCCTGCTGCTTTTCCTCACCAGGCAGCAGATCTTTACTTCACAGCCTGTACTCCCGACAAGCATCCAGCTGGGTGGATACACTCCCACAGGTTCATGGGCACCCACAGTCCCAGCGCTTATCAGCAAGGCACACAGGCGAGGCAGTATCTGTCCAGACAGGGGGTCCCGATAAGGAAGTTTCTCATTCATAACTCCTCAGAAATCAGATAAGCCCTAACTGCTGCAGGGTCACTCTGCTCTCAGGGGTCAGATTTCCCCCTGCCTCAGCTGGCAGGAGCTTGGTCCCGCCTTCAGTGGGGATCCCCTGCACCCCTCGAACACTCCTCCCTGGAGCAGCAAAGCTGGCAGCTGGCTGGAGCAGCCAGGGGTCCCAAAGCGCTGGGCCCTGCTTGCGATGTTCAGCTCTAATTGCTCCACTAGGAAAATGAAAATACCCATTTTGTATAGGTCACTGCTCTGGGGAGCAGCCAGCACAGAAAAGGCTACATGTTCTAAGCAGAGCTGAAAAACGGGGTAAAGAGAGAGTGAGAGCAAATGGGGCAGGGGAGAGAGGTCAGACTGAGCGAAGGGGAGAGTGTCTGAATGGCAGCTGGGTTGGACACAAGGAGCATGGTTTTTTTTGCCTATCTTGTCTTTTGGGAAGGCAGAACAGGTTTCCGCATCGATGCTCACTGCTGAGGTGGGACAAGATCTGTCAGACCTGGACATCCAATGGGCCCTGAGCACATTGAGCCAGCTCAGAAAGTACTCACAAGCTTCCCTGTTAAATGCCCCAAAATCACCCTGACCCCCCTCAGCAGCAAGCTTCCCTCCAGGCAGCAGCCTAGCTAGATTTAAGGATGCTTTCTGCCACCAGCTCACATTCAGCCAACCAACTTTTGGGGACTGAAAGCAAAAATATATCCTGCCTTAAAATAGCAAAGAGCTGGCAACCCAGGGAGGGAGGTTTGGGTCGACCTGTGGGTGTTTCTAAATCCAGCCCTGAGCAAAGATGAATTCTTAACCTGGGTTGCGTCTGAGCTCAGTGCCTGGCCCTTGTGTTTGCCCATGAACCCGGAGCATTGTGGCATGCAGAGCAGGGCAGTATGTGGCTTCCCTCAACCTCTCGTGCTGCTACCTCTTGCCTTCAAGCGCAGTATCAGGACCTGGCCCATGAAGATAAGATTCAGATCTTGCAAGAAATCATTAGCGCTCACGTGCATCACATAGAAATCAGACATTTGCTGCCATCTAGATCACACAAAGAGCCTCCTTCTTTTTTCCCATGATGAAGGTCAACAAGTGCACAGGGAGAGATCTTTGCTGGAAAGCCACAGCTGTATCAAGATTGAAGTCAGTGACAGAGTGATGGGAAGCTGCCAACGGCCTCTCCCCATCAGCGATCTCCCCTCTGCCAAAAACATTAACCAAGAAACAGGCCTGCTCTTCATGAGGAAAAAAAGCAGCTTGCTTTCACACTGGGAGGTGTGATGCTTTCTGCTTCCACGTGCTGAAGCCCAGCACAACAGAAGATTTTGGCTGGCCAATTCAGGACTATAGTTTAAAAGAAACAATTTGTTAAGACACGACACAGCAGCTGAGCTCCAGTTTCTGATTAGGGAGGCAATTTCAGTAGTTGTCCTTCCTTCTTTAAAACCTTACACCAGAGCAGCACCAGCCCTGCAGTGGAAGAGCCCAGCCCTTGCTGGGAGAAGGACCTGCACAGTGGAGTGAGAGGAAGGGAGTCACCCTCATGCAGCTGCTCATTGGCAAAACACCCCTAAACCCACTAGGAA